CATCGGAGAGGGGAGAGCGGGCAGCAGAGGGCAACAACGTCCTCTGCTGCCCGCGGATAAACGGAGTATTAAGTGACGCCACCATCAGCGTCAGCTCTGAGGGTGTTTTGCAGTCGGCAAACAAAACGTACATCAGCAAGGTAAAGAAAAACCTTTCCTGTGTTTTAAAAAGAACCAAAAATGGAATTAGAAACTAAACACAGTAAGAACACACCAAAGATGTTTAGCTCATGGCCCAGAAATGTGTCCCTCATGTTGGATGGGAGCTTTGCTTATCATGATGTAGTTGTTGGAAGTGATGAATTTCCTCCATAAATCCTGCAAAGTAGCTTTCATGTGAGCTACAAACCATTTTAGGCAGACGAAAGAAAACTGCAATTCCACTTTCCCGGAGAAGTCCCAGGACAGATCTATGGAAGATTTAGCTGAAATTAAAATTAGTAACACGTTTTCTACCATGATTTTGGGTTTCTGGAGTTTTACACCACAAGTCTCAATTATCCAGTGGCACCACATTTAGCTACTCAAGGGCTACGTGGGGTTCAGTGTCTTATCCAAGGTCACTTTGACATGTGGTGGAAGGAGCCAGACCTTTCCGATAGCAGACTGCTTTTCCAAGTGAGCCACAACTGCCCAAAATAAACACCTTTGATGATGTGACTGTGTGAACTCTATGGAAAATGTAAGTACTCAGGAGTTAGACATATTAGGGTGACAAAGCTTTTAGAAAAATGTTTTACAGTCAACCTGTGTAATAAAATAAAAGCAAACAGTGTTTTTATGAAGACCTAACATTTTTTGTTTATTACTAATGATTATACTAAGTTCAGGCAGCATGTTTCCACAAAACATTCGAAAAGGTCAAGTCTTGCCTTTATTAATATTTCTATATTTGGGACATTCCTTACTCTGCACTATTAGAAATGACCAGACCATGTGAGGATGCTGCTTCATAATTAAATACCTCACCACACTAGCACTATGCTACCATGTGATTGAGTTTCTGCAGAAATAAGTCCTGCATCCAATTCTTGACAACTAAACCACACAGGTGCACTTGGGCCCAGCCGTAGATAATGAACTCATCAGCCAAGTTTAGGTGATCCCATTTAATCAGAACAATAAAGTCACTTAACAAAGTAAATATTAACATTTATTTCATTTTTTGTCTAAATAAATGACATTCAGTGAAGTTGCATGAGGAATATTTTCATTTGAAACAGTCAAATCAGTGTCATGCTGGTTTGTTGCTCCAAAGAAATGAAATGTTTTACCTTTTTAATGTGTTGTGAAGGCAACAAAATCCACACATGTTTAATATAAGAGCATTCCCAGAGTTTGTCACGTTTCAAGTAAAAGAAATGAGATCTCAGTGAACACAAACATATTCATTTCCATTTCATACATGCATATCTCTTAATATCCTCTCTCCCAGGCCTCCATTCCCCCACACCTACTTTATATTGTCTGTTGCAACGAGAGATAAACAACCACTTTGTGCCACTACCCACAAGTACCCATACTTATCAGTGGTCAGCAACGCACTCTGCCCACTCCAACCACCTACCTCTGCCGCCATTCTCCTCTACCTTCTGACCCCCCACTCCCACTGTCTAGCTCCATGCTGATGTCATCTCCCCTTATAGCTGAGACTGCTTCACATTTATTCTCATGTTCCTCTATCATTGCATCTTCCCTTTCGTCTCTCCATCCCAGTGATAGAACATACCTACCGGTTGAAGCAAAGAAAACAAAACAACCCCAAACCACTTCCATTATTATGCGGGGCAATGTTTTTAAGGAGAGTCATGGCCGAGCTCTTCTGTTAGAACAGCAGTATGATTTTCTTCTCATCTATTTGGAGAAATATATTTATTTGTAACCACTGAACTGCCTCCAAATGAAACTAGCTTAGCTAAGCTGTCTAGTCCTTTAAGTTTGTGACATTTTGCAACAAAATAAGCAAAGACAGTGACACTTGATAATTACACTGTTTAACATTTTGTTTTGGAGCAGCTTCAAAGTTAACAGGAACTTTAACCTAATCACAGCACAAGACACTCTATCCAGAAAAACAAAACAAAAAAAAAACATTTCAGACACACCAGGTTCAACTTAAATAGTGGCTGATCAGACCACTCTACATACAAGAGGGGAACAATTAACATACAATTAACACACACATCCTCACACACACAAACTAACCACTCTAATCAATTCAAGTAACTCAACTAACTAAATCATAATTACAAACTTCCTATACATAACAGAAAACATCTACATTAAATTAAACACAAGCATAAACATGAATCTCCCCTCCCTTGGGAGTTGGTAGATCCCAGGAGTGCCGATTAGGCTTCCTGAGGAGATGAGCTGCAGGTGTGAGACTCCATGGGAAACTCCAAGTCACTGGTAACTCAAATAGAAGTACAAAATTAACACATGCATTCATAAACAGAAGACTGATTGTGTGCACATCAACCAGTCATCCTGGACAGAACACAGAAAACACTGCCAGCAGACCATGTCCATGAGGTGACAGACACTGCTGTCACACAGCTAATCAGCCAATCACATGGCAACAACTCCATCTTTGTTCATCTAGAGACAGTGAAGAAAAGTAACTGAAGTTCAAACTAAGAAGCATTGTTGCTTTAGTGGCTGGGCTGAAAGGACGTACCACCAAAGAGAAATGATGTCATGTCTTTTTGTCATTCATTTTTATTAGGAACATACGGAACATAACAGGGAAGTCTGGGGCTCTGCTCAGGGTGCTGCCCACGCAACCCGACCCTGGATAAGCGGATGAGAATGGATGGATATAACATAATACACTTCACATTTTAAAAAAAAATAAAAAAAAATCAAAGCTTTATTTATAAAGCGTCTTCCGCAACCCTGTCAGGAAGCCCAAGGCGCATTAATGAACAACCTTCACATAACATACTATTTAACTCATAAATCCACCCCTCTTCCCCACTCAGTATGTCGTATTGTTAATCTGAAACTAGTGTAAATCGATGTTACATCTTTCCCATTCTCCTAAATTTTACAGCCAACCATGCAAGAGTTATTTATAAACTCTTTTGTTTATTTGGCATTACATGGTTATTTACTTGTGACTCAGGTTATGGTGTGGTTTTGGTGCCCCCAGGAGTCGAACAAGACATTTTCCCATAAGTTCTGCCTAAGTACCCATGTCATATGAAATGTGAAGCAGTGGGGGTTAAATCCCTGACTGAGGTTATGGTTATGTTGTGAAAATATCACAGGATGTTAAAAGGTCTCGTGATCAAAGTGATCAAACTCTTGCTGTGGAAAGGAGACCATCAAGGTAATGGCATAAACAACTTAGATATGAAAGAGTCAATAGATATTGGAAGAGAAGATATCTCGGTCTAACTTAAAGAGAAAAGGTAAAGATCACACAGGGAAGTTAGGGGAATGGAGACTTTTTAGAAAGACCTCAACGGTGTTGTTCCTGAATGTGTTTGTTGATGCACGTTGGTTTTAGCTATGCACTAAAATCAACTCTTGGTAGCGGCAATTAACTAAAACAAACTCTTGCATGAGGGAGGGAGTGTGTGACTGTGTCTGTATATGACTGTATATGTCAGGTGGGGTCTTGGACTCCTCCCCTATCCTGGGACATCTTATGTGTCTTGTGCTAGAGCTTAAGCTCTAAAAGTTTTAGAGCTTAAGCCGTTAACAAGAGTTGCTTTTAGTCTAAAACCAACTCTTGTCAGCGGTGGTGCACATCGGTGAATCTTTTAGTTAGCATGTGTTTACTAAACGTTGCCTCTCCTAAGCTCACTTTTCTGACCTCTTCTCTTTAAACTTATCTTTGCATATAATTACAAATAAAATCCTTAAATAACTTTTGTGAGCTCCATATCTCCTCGGAGCTAAAGCTGTAGAATAGACTTTATTGATCCCACAGTGGGGAAATGCACTTGTTACAGCAGCACCAACACTAAAGAGAATAATTTGAAGAAAAATAATAAAGTGTAACCCAGGTTATCTTCCGGAGTTATTGAGCCTAAATTACTTTTAAAAATTCGCCTTTGTTAGGAACCGTTTTTCGGTAGTATAAAACATTACGAGGGTTACTTAGAACCTAGCATGCAGCCGAGCTGTGCAGCCCTCCCCACACTGGAGAATATGAAAACATTTTTTGTCCGTTACGCCGGCGTTAGGCTGAACAGGTGAGCAGAAGTTCAGCTAACTGCCGTCAGCGAAGTAATAGATGACTGGAAACTTCTAGGAATGTAAGGTTCATCACTTGAGAAGGGTTTAAGATTATTTGTGAAGAGTTTTTATTGAAACTAAAGTATTTTATGATTATAAAGTGTGTTTGCTACTGAATGAGTAGCCGTTCGAAGTAGACCTCGATTTGTTCTTTGAGGAAACCCTTTGGTGAGTCAGTCTAATGTTTCATGAACTGAATGTATATGTATATGTGAAACAAAGTTGGAAAAAAAAACGTGCGTGTAAGCTATGCTAAGCTATGTGAAATATATGTATGTTTTTGAACATTCGTGACGGTCTCATGTAGCCGCATTTTTAAGCCGGCCGGCTAGCTGTTAGCTCAGTTTCTATGAGTAGATGTGTTAAACTGTTGAGAAAATGGATTGTACACAAATTTCTTGTGAAGATAGGGTGATTTGTTTTGCTTTTATATTTCTTTTGTTAATGAAATCTACTTTTCCAAGTATAGTTATTTTGTGAGTTTGGAAGGTAATAGAAAAAAGAAAGTGACATTATTATAATTTTGTTGCATATGTGTTACGCAGGCTTGTTGATTGGGGTGTAAATCACCTTTTCCTTCCCGGAGAGCCAACACATCTAAGTAGGGCTGCAGCTATCGAATATTTTAGTTATCGAGTATTCTATCGAATATCCCGATCGAATAATCGAGTAATCAAATAAAACATACTTTTGCTAAATTAAGGTTCAATTATAAATATACAATATAAAAAAAGACAGACTTAACATTAAAATTTGTTGTTTACATTATTATGTATAAATGACATTTTTTTAATGTATTTGTATAATGGAAAATAGTGATTGTTTCTTTAGAAAAATCAGAACTAAAATTACTTCCACCTTAACATTTGAGATGAAAACACAAATATAAATAATATTACTTTAAACTTAACATTCCCTGAAACAGTTACAGAAAAAAAATAAAAATAATCTTTGAATAACAAAAAAGCAGTTATCACTCTTAGTATCAAAAAAAAGTGCAATAAATTGTGCTGTTAACACTGTCTTTCAAATGTGCAACTTTATATTCAGAACTAACATGCAAGACAGTAATTTGGCACACAAGTCCTACTACTGTAAACAAGGATTTTAAACTGTCCTCAAGAGACTGCCTGGGGAGTGGAAATACAATCTATCCAAGGAGCCTGTGGTTGCAGTGAAGGAAGGTGAGCATATCTACATGCTCAGGGCTGAGGCTTGCCGTCTTCTTTGACACAATTGATAGGTAATTTAATCTATGTTCGGTAATTTAATTTAGCATTATTCACTATTATGTTGCGTATTTTAATTTATACTATTGTTCTTTTATTACCTTAAACTTAAATTACCTTAAAGGAAGTCAGAACACCCACACAGAGGGATTAGATTCTTAAATTGGTAAATTGTATCAAACCTTAAACAGACAACAAACTCTGCAAAGTGTGTGACACTCTGCAGAGGGTGAGAGAATCAGACCATACAACACGGAAGCCATTTTCCTCTCACAAAGGAGCCGGAGCTCATGGAGGGATTTATCTCACAAAATGTTCACACCCACAAATTCCACAATCACAAGAGAAGTTTCTAGAAGTGAGCTAATTTTCCTACCTGACCAGTTTGCTTTTAACTAATGGAAAACACTTTGGTCTTAGAAGGCACAGGACAAAGGAATTCTTCAGATACTAGAACTACAAGTTTCTTTGTCTGGCAGAAAACTCCCTGGTTTGGCTGGTTTAGACTTGTCCTAATGGATCAAAATGCCTAAAGCAGAAAACAGTTTCTGAGAACATACAGACGTAAACAAGTAACTATAGGTCAGGGTTTTCCTAACACCATTTCACAAAGGAAAGATTTCACAACAATAATGAACAATCAAAAATACCTAACAATCCCTCCTGATGTTCATTTTTGTTGTTATAACAAATCAGAATAAGATGTCACTAACCCAATAATCAATGAGCACGAATTATGAATCAATACGATGATGTTAGCTTAACAATAACCCAAACACCAAAATCTAATTTATCTTGTGTGCCTAGCTTTATTAAGATAACCATAACAGATGCAAGAAACTTTAACCCGAGTTGATATGAATTATCAGATACCAGCAAACTCAGTCGATTCGTTGGATTTCAGGAAATTGCTAGAGGGGGAAAGTTGATGTTAAAACAATGTTTTCCATAAAATGGTGTTGCCCTTTCGTCGATATGAGACAGACGAGTCGTCACAGACCCAGACTCTCCTTCTTCAGCTCAAATGTCCTCGTAAGGACGCCCATCTTCACGCAACGTGAGGTGGGAGCAGAGAGCCAACCTGCGGTGTGACAGGAGAGAGAGAGACATTCTGAGAGATGGTGAGGGGATGTCTTTTGGACAGGGAGCCATGAAACCAGACAGGAGATTTGGGGTACTGGATATGTCGTTGGAGGCAGGTCACAGCGTCGTGTGGACGGACCCAGGAGGGGTCTCAAACACCAGATGTTGATTCCGTTGTTCCTCCCAACTGCTGCTATTCCTCTCGTTCCATCAGATGCTGAGGGGCAGTTTCAGAGCAAAGTGCGATCGCCCATCATCAGCAGCGACATGGTGGATTGGCCCTGCAAGCTGAAGGCAGATCGTTTACTTATCTGCCGTCCTGGCGAGCCTGCATGCATTCCATCTGATGATGGTCAGTTGTAGTGGCCTCTCATTAGTATGCAGCAGTGGGAGGGATGAGATGAGTGACCTTGACGCCTCATTTGTGGTGGTATCACATGCAACAGGACCCCAAACTCCTTGGTTCCATGGCCTGCAGTGAGAAAGCGCAAAAGAGTCATTGTGGCTTTTTGACATCTTCAACAACAACCATTCAGCTGTATCCAGTCCAGTTTGAATTAATGGGGCTCAAATTCACCTGAAATTCACCAACATAGTCCACTCGGTATCATCTGTAAGCTGGAATCAACTCATATAATTATCAGCAAACTATACCAAAGTTCATTCATCAATTCATGTTCCATATTGCATTAAACGACCCACACTATTAGTTTATGTAACCCAATAAGTGATTGATAAGACTCATTTAACAAGAAGTTTTTAGGTTTATGACAAAGACAAACACCTTTCTGTAAAAACAGTAAGTCAAACCATTATGGCCAGATATCTCACCTTGGCAAAGAGTCTGCTTATGACAAGAATCCAAGAAACAAACACAAAGTCTCACATCAGGATGTTCTTACTTGTTTACGGATCAGGCAACTTAAAGGAAAAATAAAACATTTAAACAACAGTCATAGTAAAAGAAAATATGTAAATGTATCAATCCAGGACATAGAAGATCAAACTGAATAAACTCAAACAACCGTAACTAATTATAACACAAAATCATTAAAAATGAAAAGACTATTCAGCAAAAGAAAGGAACAGAGCTTTAACAATTAACTCTAAGAAATCTATATATACCAGACTGAGATCACTGCTTTTGCTTCAGGGTAAGCCAGAGGCCAAAATAATAAAGAATAAACCTAACTACTCACTAACCCTTGAAGTACCATATATCTGCCTAGCTTATCAAACAAGCAAAAGGTTAAACAGAAATGGCAGCTCACCCTTGCTATAGCAGTATTAAAACACAATTTACACCAAGCAAAACGTCCTTACTCAGAAGTTTAGTGACTGGGTCAGAACTCAGAACATTTCTGTCTCTTTTGTCCTTTACTGATAAAGATCTGAGACAAACCTTTGTTGGCTCATAGCCAGAAAACACTTATCTGATTAACCGTTCAGCATAACCCGCTCAGCCAGTCTCGAGCTGGACTAACTCTTTCAAAACAAATCAAATAAAGATTTAACACAATATCGGGGAACCAGGGAGATTCAAACGATGACAACCATTATTTTGGAATGCCCAAACTGTAGTTTTGTATGCAAACAGGCACTACAAACCTTATAATACCCGGGTTTTAGGTTGTCACCCCCTGAAATCTGGATATGTAGGTTTGGTAAATTCGCACTCCCAGAAAGTAAAAAGTAAAGATAAACCCAATACACAATTAACTGCAAATAAAAGAACATAGGATGGAGTCAGAGTACTTTAAACCAAGCTTTCATATGTCTCATGCACTGCACTGTGCAGACTTCTATCACCACAAAAAATAACCCAATAAAATAAAACAGGATATGGTGAGAAAACATCAGCCTATTTTGGAGATTGGGCCCCAACCCAAAGAATATATCTCCGAAGATCCTACTGGAGAATTTTAACAATATGTCTAATAAAAATAGCTCACTTCCCCAAAGAAAATGACAAATGTTACAATTACACCATATTTACTTAGTCTGACCAATGAAACAAAACAGGTTGCTGAGCTAAGGTTTGCATTCCATGAAGGAACCTTACCAATTGAAAACAGAGACCATCCCGAAGCAAAACCACATTCTTAAATTAAATCCAGTAGCAGAAAGCATCTGTGGACATAGATTAGGCCTCCCAGTGTTGGTCTTTCTTCTGTTAGACCAAGCACAGGTACGGAGGAGATGGAGATAAACACCTTTAGTTGGTAGAATGTGGAGTCAAATGATCAGAAGTCCAGTCACTGTTTCACCGCTCGAGAGGGGAGAGCATGCAACTGCAGCAGAGCCCGCGTTCTGCTCCTGTCTGTTGCTTCAGACACTCTCTCCGTTCTGCTGAAACGGCTGATTTTTATTGAGGATTACAGGAATGTAACATATGCAGTTTGCCATGTACATACGTCATTGGTCATGACAGGTGAAAATAACAGCCTTGTTAGTGGACAGTTAATACATCACGAGAACATGCATCCGTGAGATAACTAGGAACATCCTGGTACGTCCTTGACAGGAAAAGATACATATTCACCGGTACCGAGAGGAACTTGAGAAGAGCTGGAGTGTGCTCACTCCTTTCTTTGGTACAGGAGAAGATATACAGCTATTAATCTTTGTGCAGAAGAACACTGAGAGGCCTTGAGTATTTGAGCAGGATTCTTTCCATAGCATATGATAATATATAATAGCATTGAATAATACAAAAGAGTTTACCAGGTGGATACATAATAAAAGAGCTTTATAAGGTAGATGCATATATTGCCTTGTTAGGCAGGAACTCACATATCACAAGAACATGTAATTCTAAGATAAGCAGAAGCATCCGTGGTAACCGGTACAAAGAGAGACTGCAATGTCTCACTCCCTTTTGGAGTTCCTGCAGCTGTTTAGAGCTTGTGCAGGAGAGAAGCACAGAGAGGCCTTTGATATTATAACATGATTCCATAATGAAAAAAGTAGCATATAACAATGAATAATAAAAGAGCTTATATGAGAGTTACATATAACCACTGCATGGTGGCGCAGTGGTTAGCACTGTTGCCTCGCAACACGAAGGTCGCAGGTTCGAAACTCGGCTGTGGCCTTTCTGCGTGGAGTTGCATGTTCTTCCCATGCATGCGTGGGTTTTCTCCGGGTACTCCGGTATCCCCCACAGATCACAACATGCCCTATAGGTAAAAAAAAAAATAAAAAATAAAAATTGTAAGTCGCTTTGGGTAAAAGCGTCTGCTAAGCACATAAACATAAACATATATTTTCACCAGCTAATCTGCCTTCTCAGGAACTCGAATCTGGTAAAACCAGATTTGTGTTAGAATTTGCACAAAGGAAAAGAGTTTATCACTTTAAAATGGCAATAAGGCATCTTCTTTACAGTTATACCTTATATGAAAAAACCAAGCAGAAACTATTCATGGGGCTTTGTACCACATTAATACCAAATCATACTTTACAATAAAGGCACCTTCTAATTGTGTAACTCATTCATCACAAAAGAGAACTATACAAAGGGGCATTAGGGAAACTGTTTTGGTCTAAAACCTACTTGAGCTGTTAAAACGGGTATTTGTTTATTTTAATAAACTACATGATCTGTTAAAAAGGGTATTATTTATTTTAATAAAATAATAAGAGGGCCTGTAGACCAGAATATCTAATTTAATTTGAGGCAATGTTCCTTTTTAATTCTCCCCTTCTGCACCTGTAATTTCCCTTCTTCCTTTACCTCTAGATTCATACTCTCTCATACATACACAGACAGACAGACAGACAGACAGAACAGACAGAACCGGAAAACTTCAAAATTGTAGCTTCACAATCACACTTAGAACGAACCTGCAGGTTTCACACACTCAAAAACTCAGATATGCACACACACTGATGCTCAGAACTGCAGTTGAGTCTTACACACACACACACACACACACACACACACACACACACACACACACACACACACACACACACACACACACACACACACACACACACACACACACAACATTCCTTGAAGTCCTGAGTCACCATACCTACACGACAGCTTTCACACACACAGAAACACAATGAGTCGGCAGACGCACAGACTGACAAGGAGTGAATTTTAGAACGGTTTGGATTGCTTTAGCCAATTATAACGATGATTCTTAATTTGGATACCTTTCTGCACCATGAAATATTTAAAAACCGTATGGTTGTCCTGCACAGAACTGTTTTTATTGCATTTTTGTATCTCAGATCTTAAATTATAACAGTCTGTGTAGAAGCTAAACCCCAGTGTGATTTCAGCAGTGGTTTGCACATTCCACCAAATTACAACCCACCATTGTGGGGGTATTCACATTACAACCCTTTTCTAGTTTTTTACCTCTTTTAGTTCTGTCTCTCAGTTTAATATTGCTATCCGCTTTAATATGGCTGCACATCGCTTCCTATCGCAGTGCTGCAAGCAGGCAAGTTGCCATCATCTATCTACGTCAGCGTACATCTCACGTACCTATTTGATGCAGCAACAAACGCGTTGGGTCGCGAGCCCAACATGTCCTTGTTGCATAACTCAACGCACTTCAAAGAAACAGCATTAAACAGAATCTGTCAAAACCTTCCTGTCAGCAACTGCAAAAGGAGTGTGTGCCTGTGCCAACGGCTGGTCGCTTTAACGCAGCGCTGGTTATTTTGAGGTAAACCTAGCAGGCTATGGTCCAGCGACTCTACAGTTCCAGTCCACATGCCGGGGCAAGAAACGTCTTTCGTGCGAGAATGGCAAATACTCCACAAACATGAAACACACTGTCAACCGATTAATAGTAAAAGGGTGCAATTAAATCAGGTACTTACTCTCCCTCTGCGTGGCGTCCTGAGTCCGGTAAGCGAGAGCCGTAGGTGGAAGATTGCCTGCGGAGCTAAACAGCTGGTTGGTGACATGGTGAGTGTTAATCACAAATCCTCAAACACCCTGGAAAATCTACTTCTAACAGGAGCAATCTCCCACCGAAAGGCTCTGCTGTGCCCGCATCCTCCACCACTATGATAGGTAATTTAATCTATGTTCGGTAATTTAATTTAGCATTATTCACTATTATGTTGCGTATTTTAATTTATACTATTGTTCTTTTATTACCTTAAACTTAAATTACCTTAAAGGAAGTCAGAACCCCCACACAGAGGGATTAGATTCTTAAATTGGTAAATTGTATCAAACCTTAAACAGACAACAAACTCTGCAAAGTGTGTGACACTCTGCAGAGGGTGAGAGAACCAGACCATACAACACGGAAGCCATTTTCCTCTCACAAAGGAGCCGGAGCTCATGGAGGGATTTATTTCACAACATGTTCACACCCACAAATTCCACAATCACAAGAGAAGTTTCTAGAGTTGAGCTAATTTTCCTACCTGACCAGTTTGCTTTTAAGTAATGGAAAACACTTTGGTCTTAGAAGGCACAGGACAAAGGAATTCTTCAGATACTAGAACTACAAGTTTCTTGGTCTGGCAGAAAACTCCCTGGTTTGGCTGGTTTAGACTTGTCCTAATGGATCAAAATGCCTAAAGCAGAAAACAGTTTCTGAGAACATACAGACGTAAACAAGTAACTATAGGTCAGGGTTTTCCTAACACCATTTCACAAAGGAAAGATTTCACAACAATAATGAACAATCAAAAATACCTAACAACAATATTACCTGCTGCTGAAAACAACTGCTCGGATGGGGTGGAGCTGGAATGCAGAGCAGGGAGTTTGCCAGCTTCGCCAATGTTGGAAAGCGTTGTTCATTAGCCTCTCCTGCAAAGACATAGTGGTAAGACAATGAGACACAATTTTCCAGTTTTCTAGGTAGTGGCACATTTATCCCCATGTAGGCCTCTGTTGCCACACTTGCCAGATATTAGTAGTAAGTGCTATGGTGTCTGTCTCTTGCAGGGCTTTCTTCATCTTGTTTTTGAGGTCTTCATATTTTTCTTCCAACTGCTTTGTGAAGAAGTTCCGAGATGGAAGAGCTTAATTCTGCTGGATAGCAGCAATCATCGCTTTGAAGCCAGCATCCTTCACCATGCTCAGCGGGCACATGTCTGTAACCAGCAGATTTACAATGTGGTCTGTCAGTATGGCTGCTTGTGCTGGGGTGCAGGCAGGTGCTTTCAGCAGAAATCTATCCAGGACAGGTTGTGATGTTTTACTGAAAAAAAAGGCTAAAAATAAAGTGAAGTAAAACATTCCTAAATTGCAATTAGGGTTTGGTACATTTCCATGGAAGGCTAAGCTGGGGAATTTTGGAAATATTTAAAATTAGAAACTGTGCACAAGAAATAGGGGAATTCATGAAAATTAACTGGAATTTGGGGATAAATTTAACAAACTATCATTCAAAGTTTTTTTTTTTATATTGTAAACCAATTTTAAAAATATACATTTTAACAGATGTATTTTAAAGCAGCACTTTAAAACTAACTTATAACAAATAAATGTATTTTATTGACACTACATTTGAGTCAACATTTACGTCCTGAAATAAAAGTTTATTCACCTGGTCTCGGCACGTCATGCCCTCAGTCCGATGCTGTCTTAAGAGGTGCTGCAGCATGGAAGAAGTGCTGTTGTGGTATGCTAGCTCCACCTTGCAATGCTTGCATATGACGTTTTCCTTTCTTTTTAACATAAAGTGATCCCACGCCTTGGAAAACTTCTGTCACTTCCTATATCCCTCGTTTTGGTCTTGCTTGTTTTCATTTATTTCCGTGGCGTCTGCCATTGTCGGCTGTCCAGCTGAAAAGACGAAAAGACTGCTGCGTGCTGTGCAGTAGAGTGCATGTGCAGTAGAGTGCATGGCATGTACAATCTGTGACGTAACCGCGTTGTGCAACACATAAAGAATCCGTGCGAAACGCCATTTTTTTCAGCTATGGTCTATTCAACGAGTCCTCGAGGCAGCGGAAAATCCTCGAATATTTTTTGTCCTCGAATCATTGGAGTTACTCGAGGAATCGTTGCAGCCCTACATCTAAGGACTCAGATGCACTGCTTTGATCCACTGGAGGGGTATTAATACTCATGGGTGCCTCATCCATGGCAGGACGTTTTCATCATATCCTGTTTCATCAAAGATGTGGTAGGATCATTTAAGACCTCTACACTATTCAAAGGACTAAGGATTTTTCCCCCTTCCTGAGTGAGGGTTTGGACACTTTTTTTTGGCAACTTTTCAACATTTTAATGGACTGAATTATCCATTTGCCCAAAAGCAAGAGAACTGGGACATAGCCCTGAATACATTGTTAAAGGACAATTGGTTTTATTTATTTATCTATTTATTAATTGTTCGATTTTATGATTCCTCTGAGAGGAGAGGGAATTTAGCCTTTATTTTCTTTATGTATTTTATAAACTGTTACATATTTCAATATATTTAATTGATTGTTGTGTGTGTGGTTTGTGGGTTGGAGGTTTCAAAGCTCAGATAATAAGCTACTACTCCTAAGAAACCAGCAATAGAGTTCAAAGGGGGAAAAAAGCAAGAAACTTTAGGAAATAAGACACATTTGATCCTGTAGCTCCCACAACACTTTAACCCTGAAGAAGTATTCAGCGCTGTTAGATTTGAATACGGATACTCAGTTTTTTCAGGGAGCCACGGGTTACAAAGGGTACATCTAGATATACCGTAATTTCCAGACTATAGAGCACACCTCAATATAAGCCTCACCAACAAAAAAAAAAAGGTTTTCTACACACACACACGCCACACCCGAATACATGCCGCGGCGCAGCAGCCACATGCAGGTCTCCGGCGTACAGCGCATGTATGGCCATAACATACCGAAAGATAATTAGACAGAAAGACGCTACACGGAGGTTTTTCGTTGTTGTTTTAATTCAACAAAACACATTTTAAACACGGGTGAACGTGCCTGCAAGTTTAGAAAACAGCACTGATAACATTCATATTTCTGGATGGTTATAAAATAAAAACAGAACTGACACGTCATTACCGGTAATTTGCATGCATGTTTAGAAGAAAAGAACAGCTCTGACACAGCATTAATAAGCCCTGGATGATTAGAAAATTAAAACTGCACACAAAACATGTCTGGTTAGTAAATAAAACACACTTGCCTTTCAGAAAAAGTCATTTGCTCTCATCTTCCTCTTGCGCACTAAAGCCATTAAAGTCCTCTTCTTCAGTGTTGGCGTTAAACAGCCTCCGAAGAGCTTCGTCACATACCTTTTCTGTGGCGATGTCAGTGTCGCTGTCAGTGTTGATGTCATCATCTCCGGGTGAAGCTGGCTTGAATGAGTTCTTCCCGCTGCCGTCTCCAGCGCCAAACCATGCATTCATTCATGCCAAGCTTACGTGCGGCAGCACTGTTTCCCTCCTTTACTGCCAGATCGATGGCCTTCAACTTAAATGCGGCATCATATGAACTCATTCGTGTAGTTACCATGATGAGCAGGTATGGATTTGAAAAAAAAGTCTTCGTCATGCCGGCTGCTTGCATGTGCTAAATTAAAATGAGCACTTTCTTCGATTTCCACTTTTGACTTCCACCTGTTTCACTTTCTGCTAAAGCGCCCCCTGGCAGGTGAGGGAAAATATTCAGTTAAGACGCACCTCATTATAAGCCGCATGGTTCAAAGCGTGGGAAAAAAGTAGCGGCTTATATTCCAGAAAATACAGTATACATGTAGGACTCTAGTATTCTAACCTTCGACTGCTAAAAACCACGAATAAAACATGAAAAAAATTGAGTTCCAACACAATGCAGCGTACTGCAAGAGACACAGACATGCAATGTAAATCTGGTATTGCACGAGTATTGAACACATACCGAATACTGCACTGGTGTTATTGTCTACCAGGATAATGCCAGTACAACATAAACTGAGGAGTTCTACACTCTTACTGCAGAGGGGATGAAAGACCTAAGGTAGCGTTCTGTTTTACATCTGGGATGTCTCAGTCTGCCTCTGAAGGAGCTGTCCATGGTCTCCTCAGTGGAATGCAGTGGGTGGGAGGGCTTTTTTAAGATGGTGGTCATCTTCCCCAGCATCCTCCTTTCATATGTGTCCTCAACTGAATCCAGTGGGCAGTCCAGAACCAAGCTAGCTTAGTGAAATAGCTTGTTCAGTCTCTTCCTGTCTCGGTCAGAGCTGCCTGCTACCCAACAGACCACAGCAAAGTGAATAACAGAGCCAACCACAGAGTGATAAAATGATTTTAGCAGCTGGAAATTAACTCCGAAGGACCACCTCAGGAGTTAGAGGCAGCTTTGGCCCGTCTTATGCAGAGTATCTGTGCTGTTGGACCAGTTCATTTTGCTGTTGAGGTGAACACCCAGGTTCTTAAATGTATCCACAACTTCAATGTCTGCTCCCTGGATATTTACTGATGAGTGAACCACTACCAAGCATTGGTTTTACTGCATCGCCGCTACCAAACATCCTGTGAACCATAGACTTTTTAGACCCCACAAATGCGGCCACCATAGCCAGTAGCGGTCGGTGCGATGTCCTAATGTCCAGTGACCAAAGCCTATTGGTTGTGAAGCACCAGGCTAAAGACCAAAGGTGATAGATCATCTGCTGCTGTGGCACCCAGACTCTGGACCACTCTCGATTTTAGAGTCATCCTTACAAGTTTTTCTTGTAAAATATACATGTTTCCACCACAGCTACTGTCCTGGAGGGCACAAGGTTTGTAACTCTTTAATTGTATTTCTGTCGCATTCGCTGACCCTCTACAAAATAAAACATTAGTTTGTTTTAAAGCACTTCAGCAGCAGTTTGGTGTTTTCATTTTAGGTTCGTCTGCTTCAGCAAAAAGAACAAAGTAGCTGAACTATTTGATTACCACTAGGCCAGCTCAGTGGCCTAGTGGTAGAGTGTCCGCCCTGAGACTGGGAGATCAGGGTTCGATTCCTGGTCGGGTCAGACCAAAGACTTTGAAAAAATGGGACCCAATGCCTCCCTGCTTGACACTCAGCATTAAGGGGTTGGATTGGGGGGTTAAACCACCAAATGGTTCCCGAGCGCGGCTGTGTCTGCAGCTCACCGCCCCCCCAGGGGATGGGTCAAATGCGGAGAACAAATTCCGCACACACACCTGTGTGTGTGACAACTAATGGGACTTTAAAACAATTTGAAATTGTAAACCTGCTGCTTCCACTTCCTTGCAGTCTTACTAAATTACAGGCAGAGAGCGTGCAGCCGGCAGAAACTCTGTCTGCGTTTTGAACTTGTATGCCGAGGAATATTTGATTTGGTTAGCAGCAGATAAATGTCTGGTAAAAAATGACTGTATAACCAAAGTGGTTTCCAGAATGATGTGAGACTGAGGGAAACGGAGACTATTCTCTTTCCTTGCTAACCTCACAGGGCTGTGCCAGAGTAGAGCCCTCCAGGGGGGCACGCTGGTTGTCAGCCCTGACCCCGACCCCACGTACTGTCACTTATTCCTTTCCACTTAAAGCACTGGATAAATGTCACTGTCACGCTTTCCCGCCTGCTATTTTACCATAATTCTGATGCCGAACTAAAGTTCCACGCTCGTTACAATATTCATAAACTAAAAACGTTATTGGGAGGAGAGATGATATGTCTGCCAGGACCAGTTGCGTAATGGACCATCCAGCATCATATACGTTACGCTGCTCATCTGCTGGAGGTCGCACTTAAAAAAAAATGTTAAGTTTCCT